CTTGTATTCTTTAACTATCTGATAACCTATTCATTTCATATTTAAAGTTTTATATAGCATTTCACGTGATATTATTAGAGTTTTTGTATTCTAGGGAACATGTATGAAAAAGTATTTGAGAATTGAGATGAACTATGGTTGTCAGAGTTTTTTGGTTGTTAAAATTTTAACATGGTAGGTGATTAGAATTTGATTCTTCTATAGTAATTGTAAATGATTTTGTTACGGAATGTTGAATGGGAAGCTTGTTAGGTCTAAGTGAATCTTAGCAAATTTCGTGTCCAAAATTATTAAATCGAAACGTACTTCATCCTCCGTCCATAAAGATAGGCTTGTTTTTATTTTCATACATATTAAGAAAACATAATTAATATATGTTGGAATTATGAATTTTACTTACATTGTTCCTAATATATCTCTATATTGAATAATGATAGTTCATATTTGTAGATAACAATATACATTAAATAGGGGTATATTATAAAATTAGAACCATACTTGGTGTACAATGTCCATTGACGACATTGTTGACAACATGACATGGGTTATGTTTGTTGATCTATGGTTGATTTAAAATCTCAAAGTTTTGATTATAACAAACAAGTCTTGTTCACTAACAAGTTGAATTTAAGTGATTATAGTCTTTCAATGCATACGATGGAAAATTGGTCAATGGTCGTTAAAAGATTAAAAGCTATCATCACAAATCGTACTTATGAAGGAAGTCAAGATCGAAGTCATAGTCACGTTCAAGATCTTAAGAGCCAAATTTCGGAGCAAGATCAAATACTTGATCTCTTAGTTAAAATGTAAATGTACTAATACTTTGATATACGTCAATAAATGCTTACAGGCAAAACTCATACATGCATTAAAAATAATTTTGTGCATTAAAAGTCATTTGTACACAATGATTTGATCAAATGTATAAATGATTTTTTTAAAAAAATGATATTTGGACTTGTAAAACACTAAAGTTAGTTAAAAATACTCTCCAAAAGTCAATGCTTTTCAAAACCTTCAAATCAGAACAAATGGAGGCAAAACGTGGAAAAAGTCAAAATGTCCGGTGGTAGACCGAAAATTTCCAACAGTCCAAAATTTGATCGTCCTGACATTTGATTTTTCTATACAAACGGTTATGTTGGTCATTCGGACAATAGGCGATCAACCGGACAGGGTTATCCAAACTCCCAGATGTTTTTGACGGTTTGAACTATATAAATACCTCTACTTCTTACATTCAAAATGAATTCTTAAAAAGAATAAAATTGAGAATTACTTTCTTTGAACTTACATCTTTTTAATTCTTCAAATATTTACTTTAAAAACTTTAGATTGATTGAATCAACTTTTGAAAATCATCTTTTCCATTAA